CTCACACGAGACTCCTCTGCACTCAAGCGAGCGCTACCGGTGGCCCAGCTAATCGAGCTTCTCTATTTCCTGCATCCCCTGCTGCTAACATAGTTTCACTGTTGCTCTTCCCCTCTCTACTTCTGTCATCTCTACAAGATGGCTGCATCACCCTTCAAAACACCACCAATTTTTCTATAGCTGTCCCTGTGGTGAAATTAAAACCCCTACTAAAGAAAACACCCAGGTATTAAAGGCAGCGCTTGTGACACTATGAAAGACACCGTGAACTACGTGCTACAAAACGATATCTTTGAAATTCACCACCTGTCACAAAGTCATGCTGCACAGCAGTTAGCCTCAGCATATTTGGAATAAGACGCAGAGTGCTCATATTCATTACTCTTGTGCTGTACTAATCCAACCACGTGTGAGAGGTATGGGAAACCACTTAGCACACCTCACAATCTCATTGAATGCAAATACACTGTTAAATTTGAAGGAAACACTTTCTACTGCCTTACAGACAACAAATACTGCTCCATTCTTCGAAGATAATAGGTCGGGACTAGCTTTTGAAATCAGGTACTCTTTTCATCTTCAAAGTTGTGCATAGTCGCCACGTTATTTACGAAAGCAACTCGTAGGGCGGCCTCTGAACAAAGGCTGACGAAGACAGCACCTGCCGTGTGGCCCTCAGGTTCAAGGGCGTCGCCGAAGCTTCCATGCTCATGGCATATGCCGCCATTCTTTCATAAGCACGGCTTGCCATTATTTGCCAACACACATATTTTATATCACTCTTATATATTCAATGCTTATATATTTTTCCGGCCTCTATAGAGCGAGAAGCTTTAGGTCACTATACTGGCACCGAACATTATCCCTGTTCTGGTTCTTCACCATGGCCTGACACGCATTCATCATAATAGGCCCTTACGTCCTGAAACACCACTACCATCTCAACCCTTCTAATGTTCTGTGGTAAAGTCACTGTAATAGCGTTTTGTTTTCACCGAGGTAGCTTTTTTACACATACTTTCGCTCTCGGCAGGCTGCGCTATCGCAGCTGGAACGGAAAGTGCCGACAATTATTTTCCGGTAACTAGCCTCAGCTTTAAGCACTTTGACTCTTATAGGAATAAGAGTTATTATGAAGATAGACAAAAAGCGCAGTTTTTCTAGTTTGATAGCATGTTAGTTTGTTAATAAACCCTCATATCAACTGTCGTACAGTTATATGTGCGTTCGAAATGTACCTAGAATAAATGAGGATGATATTGTACTATATAAATACATTCACACACAGAGGAGTGCTAGGACATGGGCTGCGTCTTCGAAAAAAGAAAGCGGGGCATATTAAGCATATTGATCTTGTTCCGTTTATTATTTCCAACAGTAAACAATTATCAAGCTGTTTCGTACGCTGTACACAATGAACGAGACTTTTCACAAATGAAAACAATGTTTTTGAGGATTTTTGAAGTGGTATTACGTTATTTACTATGTGCTGTGGTGACAAGAAATTACACCTTTAGTTATAGCGCTTTAGGCGAACGAAAACACTTTCAATGCGTAGAACTTCTGGAGACAATGGTTCGATAAGTTGTGTGGTCTTCGCAAACACAGGCACAGCCTCACTTAGCATAAATATGCCTATGCTTCGTAGACTATCTCTCAACTACAACACAAGTGGAGGAAAAGACAAGTGTAAGATAGGCAAATAGTATTGCGGGTCAGCCGAAAGAAAGAAAAGCAAGGGATGTATTTAGGTAAGCTGGCTTCCCGAATTCAGAGCGTCAGTGAAAAGACAAAGCATATAAAAGACAGAGAATTTACAAGAAAGCACGAAAAACTAACGAAACGGAAAACAAAGCTTTTTTAGGGACTGTGCCAAAAAGGTAGAAGTCAACAGAGAGAGTGCCTGAAACTTGATTGTAAAAGTCAACCACCCTATCAATAAAGATTTCTTGATGGCCGTAAGGCTACAGTCTTTACCAATTGTGACCACCATAAAAGTAATATTTGATTCGAAGCCTCTTGGTAATTCTCACAATTTATGTTCTGACATCAATAAAATTCATTCGGGCTTAGTTGGTACATATTCCCGTGGTAAAAGTAACAGCGTGTACGCAGAAGACGCTCCACAAAGGAAGGACACGACCCAAACAAGTGCTAAGCGTCAACTGCGTCATACCTCAAGGAAGTGTCTACAACTCGGAAATTATTCATTGCGATAGAGATGTGGGCACTCTCTGCTAGATTTTGCAGCTGGCGTTGGCATCAGCGTCGCCGTCACTCACAAAATATGTATACGTATCTATATATATGTAAAGGCAAGAAAGAACAAAATCCAGAAAAAGACTCCAGTGCGTGAAATCAAACTTGGGTCCTTTGAATCGTGAGTGCGAGGCGTTAACCACTGAGCCACCGAGCACCACGTTTTTCAACATTCAAACGGCAAGCTATTTATATCTAACACTTACCGCTACTGATGGGCCTCTCAGGAGGTACTAAGATGTTTAAGCATTACACACAAGACGCCACGATGAGCGCCTGTCACCACATCGCGCAGCGGCGCACGCTCTCACCCTTCACGCGTACTTTGCCCCACTGAGAGGAGGGGGGCGACACTCCCATGCGCCACTATCTCTCGGTGGGTAGAATCTTACGGCTTCGCTGGCCTTGGACTTTATCTGGAATGAATCTGTTGTAGTTCCTGGGTGCACTGAGGTCACTGCAATCATTGCAGCCTCCGTTTGCGAAAAGCGCGTGCTTTTCAGACACAGGAAACTAACAACTGAGACGCTTATTCGCGTGCATCTGTACCTGGGAGTACGTTTGGTGCATGATTTGTGCGTGGAAACGTGGGGTGCGTTTCGATTTCTTTCCATTCAGCGCGTGACCTTCCGATTTGTTGCTATCGCGTTGATTGCTTCGTCTTTGCGGCAAAGCTGCGACTTTTTCTGATTGTAGCACAAATTAAAAGATCTTTCATCACATCGGCAACTACGAGCATGCTTTTTTTTGCCAGAAGAAAAGGAATTACATTTATAACTTCGCGTTGGAAGTCAATAAAAAGTGACCACTTGCGCCACCTAACCGCGAATGTGGGCACTCTTGACAATTTATTGGTAGGACAAGAAATTAGTCCTAGGTTGACCTATTTTTCATTACAAACAAACACGTTTAACTTTAAAATGTAGTTTATGCACTTGAGGAAGCTTTTGTTGGCACAACAGACCAGTTTTTGCTTTTTTTATCTCACGCATTCAAAAGAGCGCCGTGTGGCGCTGTTTGGTGTGTTCGCTTGGCTGCATGTCTGCCTGCAAACGGCAGAGAAACACAACCACGGCGTCCACTGTGGCTCATGAAAAAAAAACAAAAAAGTGTGTGAATGCGTACAACGACCACGGAAGTATTTGTTTTATTATTAACCAAATTTGATGAAGCCTGCAAATACCGCACGTAGTTTCAGTTTTTGTGTTTCACCGGTATCAACCAGTGTTGTGGGAATTCATCTAACCGATGGTAAAAGACATAACGTGGACAAAAAAGTTTTGTTTTCAAAATTCCTACATACGCGCTTTCTAGAGAAACTGCTGGCAGCTTAGAGACTTGAGATGGTACGCTTTTTATTGCGACTAGACACAGGAGAGCAATGAAAGATGGTAGGCTGTCAATGCATATCTACGCTAAGGGCAGGCTTACTGCACGTCTGCGCACAACTGTAGTTCTAAGCAGAAGGGAAACAGCAAGGAAAGAATTCATATTAGATGAATGTTGGGAAAGAGGTACATCAGCGATAAAAGCGGGACACTTTTCACAATGTGGGAAGTTTCAACAAGCAGCCACGCATGCCTATATTGAATTCAGCCTTGTGCTGAAGCTCTTTCTTATGGCGCTTCGCAACTGCTTGAGTACTTCATGTGAGCCACAAGTGGGGCGCCTTTCTCGGCATTCTTGTAAAGCTTTCGTGCATGTGTCCCGAGCAGTTCATTGACGCATCACCCCGTTTACCGCCGAAGGTGTGAGCACACGAGAGCGGGATGGTGAAAACCCCGCTGACTACACCATGTCAGATTCGGCAACACTGTGTCCGATTTGACGACAGCATGTCGGATATGGCAACCTTTTCTCCTCACACCACAGGCGCGGTAACATATCCTCGACACCTTGTTCGGCGCGGAGATAGACTCTGGCGTATACCACGTGTACCACATAATTTCTTCGGCTGACGCGCAGTCCTATGAAGATATGGCGCCACGACTGCCTTCAACTTGGCCCTAACGGTGTTTGCCGTCTCAGTGTATCTTTGTAGAATCAGACTTCATAACTGCAGGGAGAAGAAACTTAAGAAAACCTGCAGTCAAAAATTTTTAGTCACGATTCATGTTTCCTTGCATCTTGTTAGAGCACGATTTTTGAGAAGCCGATTCGATGGTAAACAACGTGATTCCCCTGGTTTAAATTTTTTAGTGTATAAAATAAAACGCCAAAGAACTTTTTGGCTCACGGCTCATAAGATTAACACGTATTTTTGCACAGAATTTAGGCTTAACTTCTAAGAACAGTGACATGTCTTCCCGAAGAATCCTAAAAGTAAGAACTTGATGTCCGACTTATTTAAAAAACCTAAACGTCTAGAGGACTAGTCCTGGTAGGCTTATTATATAGATAAAAAGCGGACAAAAAGAAAAAAAACATCGGCATACCAAGAAGACATTTAAAGACATTCTCACAGAAAAAAATTTGCTTAAGGTACAGCCCACATTCGGCAAAATTAACAATGATAGATAAAATCGTGAATGGATCTGTTTAAAAAATGTTTTAATCTGACTGTTCTTCCTTAACATTAATTTTTTCATTTTTATCCTGTATACTTATTTGAAATAAGGCCTTATCCAGACAATCAGGGCTGAAAAGTGAGAATACGTATATTTTCAGGCCTGATATTTACACAAAGTATGCGAAAAAGTATGACGAAAAAAGAAGCCTTATTGAAGGACAAAATATCTCACTTGCTTCATCGAGTATGTAAGCAGAAGACGAGCCGAAATGCAGCATACAGGTATATGCTGCGTCTCCTTGACGATAGATAAAATGAAAATGGCTTTCAAAAGCTCTTTGTGCATAGCACTACTGTTTGAGACTTGTGGTTTTACACCGTGCCTACTATTAAACTCCACATTTCCTGCTCTTCACGGAGTGTAAGACTGAGACGCATTGTTCTGTTTGAATGTGCACTGCCGAACAATGGAACATCGAAATGAACAACGCTTGCGCTACTTTTATGTTTTTTCCCCACACGTTTATTGGGATAACAGAGGAAGGGCCCTGTCAGTCTTTTACCGACGTCTGCTCTGTACCTTATGATTGTGCAATATTCACAAAAATATTTGAATAATTAAAACTACCGGGCAGGTATTATAAACTTTTTATGGCTCAGCATTTTAAAGACTAGCTTGCAAATTCAAAACACCTTTCTCACTCTACTTCGAAACTAAGCGCTTGGTCGCATGCAGGTGGGCTGGGCCAGCTTAATCTTAAAAAAAATGCTATTTGAGAGAACAGACGACACCCTCTGCTCGGCAATATCTATTGCCGTTCTCAACAAGATTATTTTAAGTCTTACGGATATTAGAATTTGATAGCTACAGCTCACATATCCAAAAGCCAGCAAGAATATAGATGCCACATATCGCACAATACATGCAGGTTGAATTTTTCTACCGAACGCATGCGTATAAGTTTTATGGCGTTATTTTGACATTGTAATATGGTTGTAAAAGAAAGCAATAGTTGTCAAAAAAAGGAGCAGTGAATGACATTTTTCAAGGTTTCAAGCATCACGTTAAGCCTTATTTCCATACTATAAAGACACAAATTAGATCTGTGCAATACTTCAGGAGTTATGAGGTGTGTAACTGATACAGACCCGTTCGAAGTACGAAGCAACAAAGTCATCTACTAATTTTTCACTAAGCACAGCTTCTTACTTGCCGAAAAAGTCTTCCCACTCCGAAGATTAATTGTGGGAGCATCGCTTTTCCATGGCGGCTACTTTACCATTTTATCCATGCAACCAGGACGACAGGAACAGGTAACAGGAGGGATGAATTGCGAACATTTCGAAAAGATGAGACAGAATATCGTAAATCAGCTCTTCGGTATCTCGAAAGTCTTATGAAAGACAGAAATGAACTGTATATTCTCCCTCTAGGTGCCAGAGTAGTACACCTGTTTTCCGAACACCGCTCCGTGCACTGCAGAGGAACTGTGCGCAGGCCACTAGACATTCTTCAAACGCACGAGTGCCCACATCAGGCGCGAAAGCACTCGTGGGAAAGCTGTGTCGAAAAACTGCGCGTGCTTCACACTTGAACATTCCTGGATGCGCCGTGCCAGTGCGCTTGTCAGTTAAAGGAAATTGGGCACCCATGCTTTTTGTTCAAAACAAAACTTAGAACACGAGGACGGGAAAGGAACAACAACATAATAGCGCTCAATCTGTCTTTCCTCATTATATGATATGGTTGATTCGATTGATATGTGGGGTTTAACGTCCTAAAACCACCATGTGATTAGGCGATACGCCGTAGTGAAGGGGTCTGGAAATTTCGACCACCTGGGGTTCTTTAACGTGCACTCAAATCTGAGCACATGGGCCTACAACATTTCCACCTCCATCGAAATCGCAGCTGCCGCCGCCGGGATTCGAACCCGCGACCTGCGGGTCAGCAGCCGTGTACCTTAGCAACTAGACCACCACGGCGGGGCATCATATCATATGGTGAAGTAGAGCACTTTTTACAGGAAGAAAGGAAACAAGAACGAGGTGACACTCGCTACTCTTGGGTCCGTTGTGCCCGTAAATAGTTCGCTACTTAATCATACGATATGTTGTTCAGTGCACAACTAGCGCCACTCTCAATCTTACTGTCTTTCTTCTATTCCCGTCTTCATGGTTCAAGATTTGTGCCACAAATAACATTGTCGGCTAACTTAAACACCAACTCACCTACAAAAAAAAAAGTTTTCTTAGAATGAATTTGGCAAGTTGAAGCTTATTGTAGCATAATTAAATAATGAACCTCTGCGTCACAATGTTGCGTCAGCTGAGCGTCGCAGAACTGTTTCTTTTGGACACCAACGGTTTAGCTGAAATAAAATAAGTAAGCTTTAACGTGGGAGTGGCCTATATTTTGTAGATGGACTCGGAACCAACGTCCTTCAACAGTGCCACTGTGTGCAATGTTAGGCTCTGACATTTAATGAGCACGCCAACACATGTTATCAGCATTTAGTAAAATAATATACATTTCCTACAGACAGAAAGCTTATGCAGTAAGAAAAGACAGTGTCAGCGACAGCATACGTATGATAGAAAACCGTAGCCCAGGACGACAGTGTATAATAATCAAGGCGCCCAAAGCGCTCCGAAACTTATTTGGTTATCAGGACGCTCTAAATAAAGAGAGGGAGAAAAGATCTCCTTGGTGTGAGCGCGCTTAATACGCCACACATTGTTGTGCTACACTAAAAACAAAATATTATCCAGCTTTGAAGATTCAACTCCCAGCGGACGTCTCCCATACTGGAATGTACCGGAGTATATACATGTCGTAAAATGACGCAAATTATAAGTAAAAATAATGCACGCACAGAGATGTGTTGAACCGCTGCAGATGCTTACATAACCAGTTGTTTGCACTTGCGCAACGATGCCAACTGGACCATGCGTATTAGCAACACAAGAAGCTGATTTGAAGTGATTCTGCTCCCGAATCTTCGGGAGCAGAATCACCCGGACACTGCTACATAAACTTCAGCACATGACAACTAACCACAATTGACGTTAACCGACGTGGCAGCTGTATCAAAAGAGTACATATGTAATTTGTATAAAACGGGGTAGGCAGCACTGCAACCACTATTGACGTTTCACGAAGATAAGCGTCTATTTGAAAATTAGTTCCGTCATCTGGCGTAGCTTTGTGGTAGAATGCTTCATCGCCACGCAAAATGCTTGGGTTCGATTCATGCTGGGACGCTGACATGTATTCTTTGCATTCGTCGTGCTAACGCTAGCGATGTCGGGTATTTCTTTACGCTCGTGCGTTAAAATATCTTATGTGTGTTCTTGTCGTTTCTGGGTAGATACTAAGCGTTTATAACCAGTGGCACATACGCGCATACCAGCGGCACATACCCGCCCATGGATATGTGCCACTGCCTGCTTCTCATTCAAAAATTACCGAGTAGCGTAACAGCATACGTTACCGAAAAATGATACTTGTTACCCATTATACTTCCGGATATGTAAGCAGTATGTTAATAGGTTACAGACAAATAGCGCTTTACCAGTAACGGCTTCATTTATTACGCTTTACCACCAACACCGCTTGAATCTGTCTTAGTAAACTAAGTATGAGCTGTCATAAATATTTGCGTTCGTACCATTCTGAATACTCACCATATTTTAACTAATTGTATTATAGTTTAAAGATTTACCAATTCGAAAATAGGTAATTCGAGTACAGATGTACAAATAACCTGCATAGTCAGCGGGTTAGATGTACAAATAACCTGCAATTAGCATAGCGTGCTAATTTCTCACAATTATTAGCAGTGTGTCATATTTTGTTACAACTTAGCGTAGTATTTAACGCGATTCTCGACGTTAATGTTAGCGGTTTCACGTGCACGCAGAAATTGTAGATTGTGTTCTATTGTAAATACTGCAGCGAGTTTTTGACTGAAGCGCGCTTCTTAAGAAATTCAATTCATCAAGTCAGTGTGTTGGCACCAGCCTTTCCTCTAGAAGTACTAAATTCACCAAGCATATAAATACTTAAAAACGTACTGCCAATACCTTCAAAGGTAATGGCTGTTGGAGAAAGCCACCAGCTTTGTTTTTTCACGGACCTTCGCGACGTGAAGCTGATTTATTTTTCTTTAGGGGTTCTTTTGAATCGCGTCCGTAAAACAAAACTGGCTACAAGATTTACAAAGAAGAAAAAAAACGTCTAACTACACCAGAATCTTGAGGCGCAATTTGAACCATTGCTTCAAGACTAAAGAATACTGTAATAATGGCTGAAGTTTGTGACGCAGCAGCATCACAATGCTCATATGCAAATACGGTTACGATGCGTATTACTAAGCAAAATATATTTTATTATTATCAAAACTTTTACCACCAAATTAGGTCAGTGCTTCAATTTTCTTTGTATTATGAAGCTTTTATGTAAGTAAAACATTTAACATGAAACATAAGGCTGATGTAAAAAACGTTCTAACGAAGTTGGCTCCTTTTAGTGACGAGCATCTGTTGGCATTGTGGGCTGTAAATTGTTGTTCGGCGCCACTTCAACGTAGCCTTACGGAAATATTTCTTGCACTCATTATCAGGACATTCCACTGAACAATTTCTTACTCGGAGTTCATAATGAACTCCACCACCTGAAAGATAAAGTTATGGACGGGCACATTTAGCATGTTCCGGGAATTCATAGAACATTCGCCAAAAAACGTCAATTGGGGAAAATAGCCCACAGAAAAGAAATGAAATAAATATACGTTTTACTCTTTTACTCATACTTTTACCGTTACCAAAAGCAAGTAAAACTGTTTTTGTCGTGCAAAGCGACATATAAATTGACATCGTTAAAATTCTCTTTTTTTAATGGACTACTCGTTTGGTTTTGTTAAGGACAAAAAGCATGAAGGTAAAATTCTTGCTTTGATTCATCAAACTAAGTGGTTGCAAAGTTTCAAAATCACACGCATACAGCACAAGGCTTACAATTTTTCCCACTGCAGGACCGAAAACTAAAGCCCGGAGTAAAATTAGGAAACAAAATGATCGTCATATACCGATAAACAAATGAAAGCTTTGTAAGTCAGCATAGCCAATTTTATCACAATGGGAAAAGTGTTGCTTGCGGTGGTATCGTCGCATGAAAAATGCCTGACGAGTTGTGTGTTACGACTTTAACGCCGTTCGGTTCATCTATCGCTTTTGTTCCACAGAAAGTATTGGGAGTTATTGCACGCTTGCAGCCGGACACTCCTTCTCTCTTTGGTCCTGATTATTCCACAGCCTCTATACGTGCTGTCAACTATAGTTAATAATAGACATAGTGGCTACTAGCACAGCTACC